TTAGTTAGAAGAAACTAGGCTAATAAGGGAAAGGAATAATATAAAGGAATATCTTTTAATACTTAACTTAGATTTATAAAGGTTAATATAGTTTAGACTTAATAGTTAAATAAATAGCCCTATAATAAATCTAATATTACCTACTATAACTATAGGAAAAAGGGTTACTATAAATATAAATATAGGAGTCTATAGAAATAAAGATAGTAGTCTTTAATATTAGGATATAAAGCTACTATTATTTAAAAAGGAATTAGATTTAAAGAAGTTATTACTAATAACTATAGTTAAGATAACTTTAAAGATATTACTAATTAAAAAGTACTTATAATATATTATAGTAATCTAAAAAGGTTTAGGTTTAGAAAAAGGGAAAAGGAGTTCTTAAATATCTTAAAGAAGTATAGGGAAAAACCTATAAACCTATTAACAATAATAATAAATACCTTTAAATATAAGGGATAAATATTTATCTAGGACTTATGAGGCTAATAGAATACTATCTAAAAAGGTAAAAAGCTAAAACTTAACCTTTAGTACTTTAGGAAAAAGATATTTAAATCTTATAATAAGATTAATAACCTCTAGCTATTAATTAAGGGGTTAAAGAATAAAGTTACTAGCCTATAGAGGTAGGTTTAGAATAAAGACTATAAATAACGATAACTTTAGGAATAGAATAACATTTAATAGGAAGAACTAGATTAGAGCTAGTATAAAAATAAAAGGCTTTAAAGGGTTAATAGACAGCTTATAAGATAAGAATAACCTATATTATAGGTAGTGAAGTGGTTAAAGAAATATAGGACTATTAATATTATAAATTAAAGGGGAGATAAAGATACTTTATATTATTAAAAAGACTTAGAAAATAACTTTAGACCTTTTAAAAGGCTTATAAACTACTAAACTTAAAATAAAATAATAGATTATATAATATAGGTAGAACTAGTATAAATAAAGGCCTTATACTAATCTTCTAACTAACCTAATAAAGGTAGCTATAGTTTAAGATTAAAATTAGGATAATTAACTTTAGGTTATTACTAAGTAAAATTAGCTATAAGCTTTAATACTAATAGATAATAGGTTTTAAATAGATTCTATTAGTCCTACTTTAATAGATATAAAATTCCTTAAAGAATAAAGAAAGAACCTTATGTAATATAAGGGCTATTCTTTATTTAAATAGTTAAAAGGGAAATTAAACCTTTAAATATTAAAATAGAAGGAAAAACTATAAAGGTAGTATTTAATATTATAGATATAGAAACTATTAAAGATATAATTTTAGAGTTACCCTAATATAAAGATTATAATCTAGATATTAGTTAAAAGAATAGTAATTACCTATAACTATATAAACTATAGAAGTATTTAACTAATATAATAAGAAGTATAGAATAAGAGCTATAATAGGGTAAAGTATAAGGAAATATAACCCCTATAGGCCTATTATAAGAAATAGTTAATAAGAAATAATAAGCTTTAGATTCTAGAAAATAGAGTTTATAATAATAGAAAAAGATATAGATTAACTAAAAAGTTACTATTATTTTAGTCAATAAAAAAGGAAAGCTTATAATTAAATAATAGATTAGCTTAATTAAAGTAATAAGTATTAAATATAGATAAAGAAGGATTAATAAACTTAAGGTTATAAATATTAAAAATAGGAAGTTTATCTACTATAGAAGAACTATAAAAATAATAGTAACTAATAAGATTCCTAAGGAATATAAAGGATATCTAGTATTTTAGGCTAAGTATATTAAAGGGCTTTTAGAATATAGACCTTAGAACTATAAGATCAAACTTAAAGAAGGAATATAGCTAAAGTTCTTTAAGGTCTACTATATTAATAAAAATAAGATATTAAATTAAAGAAGTATTTAAATAATAATTTAAAGATTAGATATATCTAACTATTAACCTTATTTATTAGATACCTTATATTATTTATCTTAAAGAAGGATAAGAAATTTAGAATATATATAGACTATTACTAGTAAAATAATAAGATAATCAAGAACTAATACCTGTTATTATTAATCTTAAGGCTTTAAGACTAATTAGTTAAAGTATAATACTTTACTTATCTTAATCTATTAACTATATATATCTATATTTATATTAAAAAGAAGAATAAGTAGAAAATAGCTTTTAGAATATCTTATAGGTATTTTAAATATTGAGTAATACTATTTAGACATATTAATACGTTAATAATATTTTAGACTATAATTAACTATATTATTTAACCTTATTTCAATAAATTTATAATATACTATTTAAATAATATCTTTATTTACTTTAAGATATTTAAGGAATATTAGTAATATATATAATAAGTATTTAATATACTATACTAGTATTAGATATTAGTTAATAAGGGAAAAAGTAAATTTTATATTTAGAAGATAGTTTTCTTAAGGTATAAAATCTTACTAGGAAAAGTTAAAATCAAACCTTAAAAGATCTAGATAATTATAAAGTAGCTAATACCTATTAATACTACTAAGGTTTAAAGATTTATTAGATTTATAAACTTTATTTAGATATTTATCTAGAAGTTTAATAATATTATATAACTACTATATAAACTTACTAAGAAAGGAGTAGAGTTTAAATAGAAAGACATTAAAAAGCAGGTATTTTAAAGAATCTAATAGAGTAACTTAATAGACCTAATACTTTTATTACTAGAACCTAACCTACCCTTTAAAGTAGAAGTTAATATATTAAACTTTATAATTAGAGGATAATTTAAATAAAGGGATAAAAATAAAAAGTTATATCTAATAACGTTCTTTTTAAAAAAACTAGATAGACCCTATCTTAATTACCTTATTTATAATAAAGAGCTACTTATTATTATTGAAGTATTTTAGAAATAGAGACCTTACTTTAGTAAAACTACTTATTTAATATAGGTCTATATTAACTATAAGAACCTTAAATACTTTATAATAACTAAAGTCTTAAATAGATAATAAATTAAATAAATATAATTCTTATTAGGGTTTAACTTTATAATTAACTATAAGAAGGATATAGAAAATATATAAATAGATACTTTAAATAAAAGGATTAATTATTAAGATAATAATATATTAAAAGACTTATTAATACTACTATAGTAATAGATAGATAGTATTCTTTACTATATCTTATAATTAGTTAAAGACTATAAGATTATAGCTATTTATTAATAGATAGAGGAAGAAGTATCTCTATAGTTATTTATAAAGTACTATATAATTTTTAAGGAAGAAAAAGAAGGATAGGATTTTTAAAGAACTATTACTAGTAAAGAATAAGCTAATTAAAAGATAGACTTAGAAATAAATACCTTTAACCTATAACTAAATAAAATAAGACTCTAGTATTATAATAAGGCCTATATTAAAGCCTAAGACTAGAAGGACCTTTTATTTAAGGTCTATTAGTTAAAACTTAAAGGATATATAGGAATTATAAAAATAACTATTAAACTTAAATAATATTATAATTTCCTATACTTTAAAGAGAAGGTTAAAGAGATTATTAATAAATATAACCTCTATAGATAAAGTAAACTAGAATAATATAAGTCCTATAGTCTATTATAACCTTTATCTATTATTAAATAACTATAAAGTTTAATAATAATAGACTTTATTACTAAACTACTAGAATCTAAGGATATTATAATCTAGGTAGTATATAATAATATTCTTACTATAGTAAATAGGCTTATTAAATAGATCTATTTCTTACTATATAAAAAGGCTTAAATAATAGAATAATTTATAAATACTCTTTATTAGTATATTACTTTAATTTATATATAGTTAAAGAAGTAGATAATAGATTAAAATATTAAGTTTACTTTAAAGTTTTAATAAACTTTAATAATAAGATTTAATATAAAAAGTAAGCTTTTAATAATATACTATAGATAGATAGATAAACAGAATAACTTAATTAAATAGTTAAATAATATCTTTAACTCTATATTAACTTTTAATAAGATAATTAGATTAAACTACTACCTATTATATAGCTTACTTATAATATTATTAAGATTGAGATAATAAAAGTTATACTATATTTTATAAACTTTAATTATAAATTAGACCTTTAATAAAGACCTAATATTAAAATACCCTAGGCTATTATTAAAGTAGATAAAATAAACTTACTCTATATAATACTTTAAGAGGAGCTTAAATTTATAAAGATTAAGATAAAGAAGTTTTATAATTAGAAAAGGCTTAAAAGACCTTACCTAAAGAGGGGAGATAAGGTCTACCTTAGTTTATAAAATCTTAAAATAAAATGGCCTTATAGAAAATTAGACTTTAGAAAAATTAGAGTATTTAAAATTAATAAAAAGATCTTAAAGAATAACTATATCTTTACCTTATTGATAACTATAAAACTATAAACGAACATTTTTATATTATATTATTTAAACCTATATTAAAGAACTTAAAGCTTAATAAGGATATTAAAGTAAAGGATAAAGAAGAATAGAATATAAAGAAAATCCTCAATTTAAGAATTATAAAAGGGTAATTTAAAGATTTAGTTAAGTAATTAGACTTTAGATCTAAAGATAATTTATAATAATTAATAAGGAACTTAATTAACTATCTAAAGAAGTTATAGGATTTCTATTATTAATACCTTAATTACCCTATATAGCTAAAGAAAACTAGTTAAACCTACTATTATTAAAGGAAGTTAATAAAAAACTAAAGAATAATAGTTAATAAAAAAAATATTTAATTATAATAGGAATTAAACCTATAACCTTATATAGATAGCTTAATATATCTATATTCAAAGGTAATAAATAGATAAAGCTATAATATATATATATATTACTATTATATTATATAACTATTTTATTTATTAAAGATAAAGAAGAAAATACTTATTTAAGAAGGGAAGGATTAGGTAAAAAACCTAATAAAAAAGGAATATCCCTAGATCCTAAGAAGCTAAAGGCTTCCTAGTCTAATATACTAAAGGTATTTACTGACTATACCTAACTAACTAAGGATTATTCCTCTAATATTAGTTTTAGAGAATTAAGCTTTTTCTCCTTTTCTAAATAGGATATTCCTTAATAGAATACTTTAGTACTATAATTATAGAGAAAATACTACTAAGTATGAAGGTAAGATAAATAACTTAAAGCTTTAGATAATAACTACTCTATCTCCTTAATATCTCTTACTACCTTTTCTTACTCTAATAAATTAGATAATACTAAGATATTTATTAGAATATAATCTAATAAATATACTCTAATAATATAATACTTATAAGAATTAGCTATATTAAAGCTACTATACTTTTTACCTATATAAATATAATTCAAATACTTATTTAAACCCTTTATTATAATATAATATCTCTAAGGTTTTATATTCTAGTAACGTTTATAAAGTATATTAACTTTAAAACCTAATTATTCGATTTTTACTATAAAAACGAGGTATTCTTACTTTAAGTTATAAGAACTATAATACTTAGGGTTAGATATAGTAAATATAAAGGGAGGTATAATAAGGAGGAAGGAAAGACTTATAAAGTATAAAAAGGTATTAATATTAAGATATAATTATTAAATACCCTAGGTCTTTAAGATAAAAGATAAAGAAAGGGGGTATTATATTATAAACCAACTATAGAGTAGAAACCTAGGTAAGGTATATATAAGAAGGTATAACTAATAAGTAGGAAGAGGGAATAAGAATAGCTATATTAAAATAGCCTAAAGTAGCCTTAGGTAACTAGTAAATAAAGAGGATCATAGTAGACTTAAATAGATATCTAAAGGGACTAGGGTAGATTATAATAACTAGTAAATAGCGGCGAGTTAAGGAGGTATATAGTTACTTGTTCTAGAGGACTCTAGGAGTTCTCTAGTAAGTAATATAACTTATTTACTATACTTGCTTAAGACTAGTGAATATCGAAACCAGATTATTATCTTATTATAAACCTTTTGGCTTTACTGGATTATAGCCCTTATATCATACCTTTAGTAAACCCTTTTAAAGTATAGTTGAAAGACGATCCGTTATACTAGACTAATAGATAGCTAAAGTAGTATAGTTTCCTTTATATTTACTGTAGATATAGTAATATAGGAAATAATAATAAAATATAATAATCCTTTAAGCCTTTATTTTTCCCTTTATTAATTTTTACCTTATTACCTATAGACTTTCCTTAAACTTTTTTCTACCCTCTTCTCATAAAACTACCTAATATACTATTTTAATCTTTTTAACCTTTTATTAAATCTTCTAAACTTTAACTATTAATTATAATAGGCTTTACTTTATTTATACCTTATTTTTTATAACTATTACTTTAACTATCTTTTAAAGCTCCTTTATTAACTATTTAAATATCTTTTATATATCCCTAACCCCTTTAATTAAAGTTTAAAGGTAGTTTATTATAAAGGTCTTTTCTCTTTCTATCTTCTATAAGGCTTTATTTATAGTACCTTGTAAGTTTTAAAGGTCTATCTTTATTATATAGTTAATTAACTTTAAAACATTATTAGCTTTATTATTATATATCTTAAACTAGTCTTATAATAGATAATAAAGGTTAATATCCTTTATAATAACTATTTAATATATTAAACCTAGCTAGCCTTATAAGGTCTAAAAGGATATTCTATCTTTTTGAAGTTATATATTAATTATATTTCTAGCTTTTTTCTCTTTATATTTTAAAACTATACTTCATTAAGTTCATCTTTTATCTAATATTTCTATTATCTAATTTTAAACCTTCTACATATAAATATAGTTATTTAATTCTTAGGCCTATATACTAGATACTACTCTAAGGTTTAGAAGTAGTCTATTAACCTTATTTATTATTTAATCTATAGATCTAATATTCCTATTAAATTATATTAAATATATTTTAATAATACCTTTAAGTCCTCTTTATTTGTATTAGTATTTTATAATATAAGTCTAACCTTTATTAAAGTCTATAGTTATATTCTTCATTAATTAAGCTTTTAATCTTTTTATTAAATAGTTAAACTAGTTCATAGATTAAATAGATTAAATAAGTTAAATAGGTTAAATAGACTATATAGGCTTAATAGATTAAATAAACTAGATTATCTTTAACTTTAATATTATAAAGGCTAAATTTAGCTAGCCTTTATATTTGTCTTTTACTATTACACTATTACTATAAACTTTAAAGGCTAGCCCTATATAGTCTAAATTTAAAGATATTTAATATTAACCCTTTAAAATTAATCTTTATCCTTCTATTGTAATAATCATTTATAGATAAATATTAGTTTAATAAGCCTTATTTAAAGTTATTTAAATACCTTAGGCTAGTATTAATAGACATTTCTAGCTCTTTCTTTAACTTTAACTCCTTTGAAGTATTCCTTTATTAAAGGTAGATAAACTATTTTATAATTTAAGATATTTATAAAGTATTTAACTTTGAAGAAAAGTCTTTTCTAACCTTTATATATTTCTTATAAGCCTCTAATATTTTAAATACCTTATTTAATAGAGTAAACTACTTAATTATTAGCCTAATATAACCTAAAATAGTTAAAATAAATAACAGTAATTAATAGTAATAGACTATATTAGACTATATTAGACTAGTAACTAAATAGTCTACTTTATTAAATAGGATATCTAAAATACTATATTATATTTCTTATATAGGGCTTCTTTTTAATAGAACCTCTAGATATTACTTTATTTCTAATATTTAAAGTATTACTTTAGTTTTACGGCCTTTTAATAAAGCTTATAATTAAGGAGCTAGATATTCTATAATACCCTTTAATTATATACCTTTTGAGCCTTTTTCTAATTTTTAATAACTAGTTTAATATCCTTTTAATTGAAGACCTTTAGATTAACTAATGGACTAGGTTAACCTATTATCTAAAGACCTTAAAGTACTATTTAATATATAAGTTAAAGGGGTTAATAATAGTATTTATTAGATAGAAGTTTAATATAGAATAGTAGGACTAAAAGGGCTAATTACTATCTTAAAGTAAAGACTAGTCTGGATAATGAAGTATCTAAACTCCTATAAAGCCTACTATAAAATATAATATACCTAGAGATTATTTACTAGTGGTTTAGAAATAGATTATTAAACTTATAGATCAGAGGTAGATCTAGGCTAGCTTATTAACAGCTATAATATTAGTCTTCCTCATTAAGAAAGAGAATAGTAGATAAAGGTTTTATATTAATTACTAAGTATTAAATAAGATTATAAAATAGGATTAATACCCTATTCTATTAATTAAAGAAATACTATATTCCTTCTTAAAGGTAAAGTAATTTATAAAACTTAATATCTACTTTACCTTCTACTATATTTAGATCGCTAAAGGATAAAAATATCTTATTACCTTTTAAATAAGGTTTAGTCTTTTTAAATAGTTAATCTATCTCTTTAACTTTATTAATACTTTTATAACCTTCTAGTAATATATTAATAATACTTTTAAATTAGTATTTAATAACTTTTTTATAGCTTACCTTAATAATGTTTTAATTTATTCTAATAGAAGTAAAAAGGAATATATATAATAGCTATAATTAATCTTTAAAAAACTAAAGGCTATAGGATTTACCTTAGACCTTTAAAAGTATATATTTATAGTAAAGGAGGTTAAATACTTTAGCTATATTATTAAAGTAAAGGCCTAAATCTATCTAGACTTTAAGAAACTTAAGGCTATTATAGAATAGAAAGCCCTAATAAAGCTTAAAGGTATTTAGAGTTTCTTTAGATTTATAAACTTCTATTAATACTTTATCTAAAACTTCTTAGAATAGATAAAACTATTAACTAACTTAATAAGAAAGGGTATATTATTTTACTAGGGATAAGAAGAGATAAAGGTATTTAAGTCCTTAAAGATAGAGTTAATATTAGAACTAATCCTAATATAGTAGGATTTTAACTAGGAAATAGTAGTAGAAGTAGACTATTTAAGATAGATATTAGGAGAATATCTCCTATAGAAGGATAAAGATAGGATATTATACTTTATAGTCTATTACTTTATAAAGCTAGTATTAGCTAAATATAACTATATTATCTATAATAAAGAATTGCTAGTTATTATTATATACCTTAAAATATAGTTAGCTAAATTATATAGTATAAATATCCCCTTCTCTATCCTAATAGACTATAAAAGCCTTAAATACTTCTTTTAACTATATCTAATCTTAGAGTAATAAGCTTAATAGATAGAGATACTCTTCCTTTTTAATTTTAAGTTAAAATACTAATCTAGAACCTAAATATCCTAGCCTAATATACTCTTTTAATAGGAATAAGACTAAAAGAATAATAAGCTATAAATAGCCTAATGGAGATTGTACCAATTAGTCTAATTCCAGGCTAAAATCGCCAAAACCACCACCGTTCAAAAGCCCTCGAGAAGCCCTATATAAAAGTACCTATCATACCTACATATAGCCTACAGCACAGCTATAGCAGGTGATATACCTTATATAAGGAACCAATTATACTAACTATATTGACTATATTAGCTATATAGTATATAGACTATAGACTAGCTACTAAGCTATTAAGCTAAGCCTAGTAGATATATTATTACCTAGCTAATAGGGAACTAACCTCCCTCCCTTAAATATAATGAAAATAGTATCTAAATTAAACTAATTAGTCTAACCTAGGCTATAGACTAATTATGCTAATTAATTTAATTATAGGTTTAAGGTACTAGTTATATTAATTAATTTAACTATAGGCTTAGGGTAGCCTTACTAGAATAGTATAAAATCTATTAGTAAAGGAGCTTTTTAAAAGGCTCTAAGTAAGAATAGGCCTA